CAACAAGTTGCACGGTGAAATACCCTCGGGGGGTCCTTTCAAGAGCCTATCGAGTAAATTTTTCATCAACAACGAAGCATTGTGTGGTTTGTCAAGGTTTAATGTCCCCACATGCCCCACTTCATCAACGCATAGATCAAATAGGACAAAATTGCTAGTTCTATTTCTTTTGCTAGGAATAACACTTGTATTTGTTCCTATCGCCTTCCTATTCCTATGGATAAGGTATAGAAGAGGTAAACGAGCTCCTCAACAAACTGGTTCATTGTCTATGGCAACAACAGAAAGAATTTTCATACTATGAACTGCTCCAAGCAACTGATTCGCTTAGCGAGAGTAATCTGATTGGTTCTGGAAGTTTTGGCTCTGTCTACAAAGGCATTCTCAGAAGTGGAACTCATATTGCAGTTAAAGTGTTCAATTTGCAACGGGAAGCGGCATTCAAGAGTTTTGATACAGAATGTGAAGTTTTGCGCTGCCTTCGCCATAGGAATCTCGTGAAAGTCATCACTAGTTGTTCCAACCTTGATTTTAAGGCTTTAGTGCTCGAGTTTATGCCTAATGGAAGTCTTGACAAGTATTTGTATTCAAACAACTACTTCCTAGACATTAGGCAGAGACTTAGCATTATGATAGATGTAGCATGCGCGTTGGAATATCTTCATCATGGATGCTCCTCTCCGGTGATTCATTGTGACCTGAAGCCTAGTAACGTCTTGCTGGATAAGGATATGGTTGCCCACCTAAGCGACTTTGGTATTTCAAAACTGCTTGGTGAAGATGAGAGTGATTTATACACTAAAACCTTAGCAACATTGGGTTATATTGCACCAGGTACGTCTCTTAATTTGTTTTGTTTGACTTTTCCTTTCTTTTTCTTTTTCACCAAGAAATTATGTTAAATCTTCAAATGAATTGTTTGTTTATAGAGTATGGACTGGATGGATTGGTGTCTATAAAATGTGATGTCTATAGTTATGGGATCATGTTGCTAGAGACGTTTACTAGGAAAAAGCCTAATGAGTTTGAGGGAGATCTTAGCTTGAAGCAATGGGTGAGTTATTCATTCCCAGAGGCAGTAATGGATGTTGTAGATGCCAACTTGATAACATCAATGGATAATTGCTTACAGAAGGAGTTAGATATCGTGGCATCAATCATGAAAGTGGCATTAGATTGTTGTGCTGAATCTGCGGCAAGAAGGACAAACATGAAAGATGTTGTAGGGATGCTACAAAAGATCAAGATTCAACTTCTTGCATGCTGAGCAATGTTCTCGGAATCACTTATTTGTTGCAAATGTTTACTAAATTGTTGGATTCATGTAAGGATTGGTTTTTTTTTTTAGTCACTTGATTTGTGCATGATTCTGTTTTGGAATACTGGTTGGTTTCAATAAATCTCACAATTTCCCTTCCACACTTGCTCAAGTCAAATTTATCTACTTATCTAAAATGAGTGATTTCAACACTTGGATATCAAACTGACAACTAGCACGGAAAGGTCTCGTTTTGGTCCAGTAAAATGAATGTTGAAAGCAAATTCCTCAAAATCATATGATTCAAGTACCTGACAAAATGAATAGAGATAGAAAGATCTGGATAACTGAGACGACATAATTCAAGATCAAATGATCCACCTCTTTGTTCACTTGTGAGTGTCAACTCAGAATGGTTAGAGGGAAATATATGTATCCATATATTAGGCATTATCCTTTCCGCCCACCTCATTAATATCAATAGGGAAGAATCCGAGGGTGGCTTGATTATCAACAAATAAATCTAAGATGTGTATCTTCTTTTATGTTGTCTCAAAGTAGAGTAAGCACATATTTAATATAATCGAGAAAGGCAAATAACAAACTATATATGTTTTCCAAATCTCTGTTAACTTAAACCGACTTACACACGGTGTCACACTCTTATAGCATGGAACCTTAGTAGCTCAGTTAGTTGACTACTTGAACTTTCACCTTGTTGGTAAGGTACCAATTCAATTCCGCAACTTGTAATCCCCTACTCCCAATTTTATTTTATTTTATTTTTAAAAAACAAACTCTTATGCCATTTGATCATCCCTCGCTGAAATTATACCGGTGTATATGTCAACTAGTTCTGAAAACGTGCGTTGCACGTTTATTCTTTACTGTCATACAAATTTGTATAGGTCTAATTTAACGTTGATAATTATCAATTACACTATTCTTTTGCATATGTTGTTCTGTGCAAATATAACAATGTCAATTAATTCTCTTAATTTAATTTTGGTTATTTGTCTGCAAAATGAAAAATATTGAAAAATATAAAACTAATTACGATAATATAGCATATAGTATGTGATATAGTGATGAACTCTTACTCTAAATTTACGAAATGGACGTTAACAACATATATAACAAAATTAATAAAGACAAAGATTAAATATATATTTACCATGTTAATCAGGGAAAAATGACCAACATATTGATTTTACATAAATGTATAAGAATTATAAGATGATGAAACACAAAAGTGAAGTGGACTAATATTTTCTATTCATTTTATATAAGAGATCATCACCAAAAATCTATTAAAAGACGAAAATAATTGCAAACCCCAAAAAAACTTATCAATAAAATACAAAATCAGTAAATAAAGTGCAAATATATATATACACACAAAAAGAAGGATCTTTTGAGCAAGATAACTAAGGAACATTAGTAAAAAAGACACAAATAATGATACAACCCACATTGAAAGAAGTTGCTTCATATAAATCAAAAATAATTAAGAATATTTAAACATAAATTATGTAATATTTTCGGCCTGTTCCTCATACTCAAATAAAGGTATTTTCAAAATCGAAAAAAGGACCATAATGTGTTTTGCCTCCAACATTCTCACGATGAAGCAATATAATTCTTAAACCCAAAACTCAATATTGTTTTGTAATTGAAACCCAAAAATAGAAAATGAGTGATGAATACATGATGATGAAAAGCTTGTAGAAGTTGCGTAAGTTGTGAATACAAACTAATAAGATGATTTTTACTTTGAGTTTTATAGAGCATTTGACTATGTGATTGAATAGTATAAATTTTTCTGTCCAAATTTATAAAATCCTATAAAGTATATGAAAAGACATGATATTTAATTATATGAAAGATGAGAGGAATTAAACATTTTAATTGAACTAATAATTAAGAATTTGAAATTTTCAATAAATTTGGGAATATGGAATAACTTTCTACAATAAGATTCAATGCATATTGTTTAGAAGTCTATTAATTTAATTTTAAAAGTTAATGAATTAAATTTATGCTCTATCTTTTTATATTTATTTTAATAGTAATTGACCTTTCAAATTTTCATGTCTCTTGAGACTCCAACTTTTATAATTACGTTTTACGTACCATTTCAATCTCTCAAGTATTGTAATCATGCCCACCATAAATACATACTTCACATGTTTCAACAAAGATAAATGATTAGGACTACTTCTAATTTATAGCCCCTGTTCATAAAGTCCTCATTTCCTTTTCTCCTCTTTCTTCATTTCAGAATCTAGAAAACAAAACAAAACAAATGGAGAGAGTCAAATGTCACTCTCATCCACAAATCTAAATGATAGAGCTTCCAAAAACAAAATACTGGTTCAGAAGAAACTACTATCCACTCAGATCAATGGCGTAGCCACATATATTCGTCGAAAAATTATACGTACTACAAATTAAATATGCAGCATAATACAAGGGAAAATGTCAATTCATCTATAGTAAAGTTAGGATGCACATAAAAAGAAAAGCAGGAGAAGTAATTTGGACAGAGGAAGGAACGAAGACTTCTATTGGTATCTTTAGTAATAAAAGTAAATTAGGATGATAACAAAAATGAAAAAAAGTTAAGTAACTTAGAGAGGAACAACATGACTGAGAAAATTCTTCAGCATCAGGAGGACAATCAAAATTTATTTTTGGATAATCATAGTTCACTTTCAGATGATAAAATAATTACCATGAATGTGCTTAAGGCAAGTGAACAGGTCTAGCATAAACTTTTTGGATTTGAAACCTGAATACTCCTTGCAGGGAAGTAAATCCTTTTAACGACACTTGGAGAAGTAGACAGATTTGTTAGACGATGAGTGAAGAAGGCGAGCTTTGTCTTCCTTGCTAAAATCTTGAACGACTTTTTCAAATCATTGAATAACAGATGGATGTTGATGCAATATTGTATCCAAAATATTCTGTATTTGTCCTCAAGCCATCAACTGCAAAGCAAGGGTCAAATTAATTAAACATAAGAAGCAACTCTTTCTTTAATGAAAATCGTAGAAAAACTGACTTCATCACCTTCAAAACAGTAATTGGTGAAGTCCGCCAGCAAAAAGTATGATGGTCTAACCTATAGCAAGTTTCTGTTTGAAATTGAACATGATATAAAAAAAAAAATAGACTTAACAAATAATAGAGTGACATGCATTAATTCTTGTTATACCATATAGAAATTGAAATAGACAGATGCAACATTGAAAGTGAAAAAAAGTATCCTTACCACTATCACAGACAATCAGCAAAAACATCAGACAGATCTAACATTGAAAGCATGAAAAGCAAAGAGAACAAAAAAAATTCACTAGAAGAGGGAGAGGACCCTAATACTAACAGTAAAGAGGTAGAGATCTGCAGGACATGATCAATAATATTAACATAATGGAGCATCTTTAACCAAAGTAGTATATAAGGGACTCCAAGAATCTGGTTGCAGATACATTCTTGAAAGCGTCACATAGATTATATAGTTTTCTCAAGTTTATCCCTCAGTAGTAACGTGATCATATTCAAATATTGTCTCACTGTTATCACAAATTACTTCTGTATAAAACGTGAAATTGAAATCAACATGAAACAGACAAATATTGACTTTCACGTGTTCAACGTTTCAGTTCTCTTCTCTTGTCCTGACCCTTCTCAGTACATTAACTGGGACAGTGTTCATTTCACTAAAGCCATGTAGGACTAACTTGTTTCTTTCTGGTCATCTTGTCATGTCAACTCTCATTTAGTTATCTGCTAAAATAAAGCAACAATTTTAAACTACATTAGTAATTAGCACAAAAGGATACATAGCACGGGCCTTCATTAAATAACTTGGCTGCATATGCATATAAAATTCATCCTATACCTACCAAACTTCAGCCTCTTCTTTATAAATTTTCATCAAAACTTTAAATATATTTGTGCTTCCTCACTGTTCTATGCCTGTTTTTGTACTATCTTTGGTGGATACTTATTCTTTCCCTTTCCTTTTTGATCAGTGTTTTCTTGTAGTTTATTTTTATTTTTTTGTGTTACTTTCTTGCAGTGTCGTTCTTCCTCTTTTCTCTCCATTTTCATGAGTTTTCATTCTCTCAATTGCTATTTATGCAGAATTTTAGTTTTCAATCTGATGGTACTTATCAAATATTGGAAAATCATTTACACCATACGATTGGTTACAAGGATCTCAAAGTGGAAGGAATTGTGGAACTCGCTCTATGTTAACAAAGTCCAACCACCACGTATCTCATTTACATTGTCCTTTTATTGATTTATTTGTATCATTTTAAGAGTTTGACTAAATAAGAGAAGTACACATAACAGGCCTTCATTGTCATTCTTCTGAATTAGTGAAACTGAAACTCGAAAATTATTTTGTGAATCTTCAACTACATCCTAGAGATATGAGCATGAGAGGGGGGGGGGGGGGGGTAAAGAGCTTGCCAAGCCAAGATTCAAAAACTCTGGGTGCTCACATCTCGTAAGGTTTCCAGCCAAATTATCCGAGATTTTTTATGCTAGTAGCACACCAAGGTGGTAGAAGTTCATTCAATTTAAATTAAGTTGACATTCTTACTTACAACATGTGGTGTAGTTATTACACTCGAGAAGAATCTTACAACTTAAAGTCCTAATTGGTGCCTTATGTACTGGCATCTCTATAATTTTACGGTAACTATTGAAGTAATTGTTGGGTTTAGCAAGGTGTGAATGGAAAATAAGAAGAAAAAATGGAAAGTGGGGGAACCAATTTTGGAGGGAAAATGAAAAGTCATTGCAAAGTCCAAATGAAAAGTCATTTTTACCATATTGGTAGAAGAAAGGAAATTGTTGTGATTATATTAGGAAACACTTCCTTTAGTTCTTAAAGGGTTAAGAAGAAGGTGCACCCTCGCGCCGTCGCTCGCTCGGCTTCGGATTTGGATTTGGCAAATGATGTGATTGATTAATAATATTTTTGGACAAAATTTATTTAATCAATCTTATTAACTGATTTTCTTTCTCTTATAAATTAATTCAGAATGTTAGTTAAACAACAGAATTAATTTCATAACGAATTATTTGAAATTCGCACGTAACGGTAAATTCGTTTGAAAGGATTTGTTCCTTCCGAAAAGTCGTTACTTTTCCCAAAAAGACAACGGTCTGGAAAAAATGGGTCTGGACAGACGCGTTCCTTGCTGTAAAAGGCTATAAATAAGAGGTTTTTTCCGTTTTTCAAACACTGAAAATTTTTCCTCTCTTTCTTCTCTATGCTTATTTTGCCATTATTTTTGTTTTTGCTCTCTCAAAACTAGAATCCTGGCTCTCTTTTTTTTTTTTTTTTTTTTTTTTTTTTTTTTTCTAAAAACAAATTTACCATTAGACAGTGTCTAGCGGTCTTTTATTAAACATAAAAAATATCAATAGGGACAAGTACAAGCAAGGGGGGCTAGGCCTTACCTTACTAATCCTAATGAAGTACCTAACTTCTGCTACCTAACAAGCATGAAGAAAATAAAAGCTAGAGAAAACTAAGTATTTTCTGATCATCACAGAGTTTATAATACACTCCATGATGATATTACAAATGAGGATGCTTAAATAATGTAAAAATATGTCAATCAAGAAGAAAGTTGAGTTATCAACCTCAAACTTTCTATTACTAAAGTATGAATTAAAAAAGATTGATTGTCCATCAAAAGTAACTTGAAGTATTTTTCTCTTGTCTTCTTCTTCAAACCTATCCAACAACACTTGATGATTCATATCTTCTTTATGGATTTATTGGATCTAGTTGAACCTATTGATACTGTCAAATGGTTTTGCTTTGCCTGTCGCATCGGTAGGTGCCTTGGAACAAACTCCTCAGTCATTTTACCATCCCAACTATGTTGCCTTCTGATCTTGTTGTTGTTTTTGCGTTCGCTGAAGTTATTAAAGTTTGAGGTACCACTACTTCTCTAACAGGTTAATCCGTTTAATCTTGGGAGGAATTAATCTGGATTAAATTTTTTAAGGAAACACAGTAATTTCTGTGGACTCGGATTAAAAGCATTCTGTCAATTTCATCTATTTTCTGTTTTTGTATATTTGACTAACCTGAATACAGGAGATAACAGTAATTCTCAAGAACGTAAAATGGTAGTACACTGTACACTTTTATTAACATTCAATGCAAATCAAAATACACCAAATCATCCAAAGAATAAGTGTCACACTGTTTGATTTCACATTCTCTTATTATCATTATTATATAGGGGATCGGGATTTCTGCAAAAACATATAAGTATTGGAGGATCATAATGATAATACCACACATATATTGAAGACAAATGTAGTTCATTAGAAGTAAATATTGTACCTTGTAGATGAGAATCTTGAAGAACATCTGTGATAAAAAAGAAAAACAATAATTATTCAATTGACTCTGGCATATCATCAAACACTTAAGGTGTGCAACTTACTTCGTAATAGTCACTTTATTTACTTCAATGTCACATCACCAAAGAACTTGGATGAAAAAGTACAAAAAAGGGAAGAAATGAATTACCTCGTTGTTTCAGAGCAAACTTCTTAAGAAGGAAAAAAAATCAGAATATGCATGTCGGGAACGGATTACATCAGGTAAGAAAAAATTACACAAAAACACAAGAAATTACAAACAAAATAGAAAAAGGTCGAATTGGAATGCTTACCAATGAACAAATTAAGAACCAACAAATGAATAAATAAATAAACAGGGAGAGAAATACAACATCTAAGAAAACGTCCCAATTATTTTTGAAGAAATAAAATACTTAAATAAAACAATCATTGATAAATTAGATCTAAACCGAAAAATAAGAAATAATATGCTCATTAGCTGGAACTTTCCGGCAAAATCCCATAAAGAAGCTTGAATGAGATAATTCAAATAAATGAAGCAAAATTTGGCAAAAATAAAGAAAGTAGAAGGACTAACCATGACTTTTGATGTCTTTTCCCCTACTTCATCATTTGGCAGAAACAGAGAGCTTGAAGTTGCTCCAAAAAAAAAAAAAGACAAACTTCAGAGGAAATTTGGTTAAGGTGGAGGATGAGTGAGTAATGGCAAGATACATGTTTCTGTGCCTACACGTGGCTTTATGTACTTGTTGTCTATAAAGTATAATTATTAAAGTCTCTTGTACAAGCACATACAGCTGTTTGTACAACTCTTATTAGCTTATTTTTTTGGCAAAGAGAAGTGTGTAATAGCCTAAATAAACAGTACAATTCATACAACCTGATGTACAATTCAGTATTGCAGTGTTGGTCCTTTTCTTGTTGGCTTATAAAATAAATATATATATATATATATATTAAATGTAATTATCTTTTTAACTTTTTTAACTTTTAAATTAAGAGTAATTAAGACTATATAATAAATTAGAAATTTATTTTACTAATATTTGATTAATTAGATTATGATTTAGTGTAAGGGTAAAATAGTAATCTAACTTTTTCCTAAAATTCTTCCCACTTATAGCATAATATGATGATATGATATGATATTAGTATCACATAAATTAACCATTGAACTACCTCAATGAAATTTATGACTTCTGGATCGCACAATTTCAACATTGTATGAGACTAGGTTGAGGCCCTAGGTTCAAGTCTCGGCTAATAAATAAAAGAATTGGAACGTCCAATATGTGAATGAGGGGACGTGTTGAAGAATAATTAAGTAAATAAAGTGTGTTCTCCCTAACAGTTTAACCTAGTTTTACATTGAGGGTCATACGTACCTTAAAACTCCTCTAGCCTCAAGACGATAGTGGACGCAGAACTTAGTATTGTGAATCTAGCATCCGACCTACGGCTCTTATCTCTTTTAAAGGTGATTTCATTCCCAAAATTCATACTCGAAACCACTAAATAAATATGAAGGAGCTTACCTTCTCTTTCTCTCTCACGTCTCCCACCTTTTCTCTAAATTGTCATATAATGATTTTCAAAACACATATGAAGTGGTGAATTGATTCAATGGTCCAAGTGTACAATTTCTTCTTAGCAAACTTCACTTTTTCTAGGACTTTTTTTCAATTTCAATGTCAAAATTCAACTCATTATTTAAGACACCATGACCAAAAAAAATAAGTTGAATTATTTTGTTCGAAGATTTTGAAGCATTTCAACGTAGTAAATTATAAATATAAGCTCTTATAATTATCCAAATAATGTGCTTTGTCACAACAATTCTAGACCAATTTATGATTATTAGACGTACACTATACTACACATGATGTAAACGCTCAACATTGTGTCACTCTTCCTTAATCAGATGTCTTGGTTTTGAATCTAGAATGAGGATGGAGTTCTTATAATTGTTCAAATATTGTACTTGTCACAACAATCCTAGGCCGATTTATGATATTAGGTGTAGACTATATATACTATATATTATTTAAAAACTCGACATCACCTCACCCTTAATCGATCTTGAGTTTGAGTCCCAAAAATGAAAAAAATCATAAAAGAAAGTATTTTTTTCCCCTCTTATTTAGGTCTTGCCGGACGTGAACTCAAATTAATTAGTCATAATTTCAATGCAGATGTTAGACAACAATAAAACCTAAAAAGATGGTACAAGTTGTTATTCTTTGTCTTCCTTGTCGCCTAAAAAGACAAAATTAGAAAACGTATAAGATAATAATCAACAGTATGATAAAATTGTTATAAATGGACTGTCAAAATGGTCTATGGAATATGAGAATTTAATTAAATAAAACAACACAAAATAATTATAAAGCCATATGGATTGTCACTTAACGTGACAACTATCTTCAATTATATTGTATATATTTTCTATTTCAATATGAGTATTTAATCTTTCATGTCATTCTTGTTTTTAATATTTGAAAAGATAATAGTTTCTTTATTTAACGTCTGTGGTTGACTTTTAATTCCTTTTTCCAAAAAAATTAAAAATAAATTGTAAGACTTTTTTTTTTCCGCCTTTCGTTGAATAGATGGTGAAAGATACCACCCTAATCGAGTAGATTGTGATAATTCAGATTGAAAAATGGAATAATTGATAGTTGATCCAGTTATATTCGAGGTATGTTTTAATACTTAGATGGTAATAGTTCAGATTTAAAAAAACATCTGATAATTAAGAAATAAAACTCGCTAAAAAATAATATTAATTCAGAGGGACCTTAATTCAGATGTGTTTTTGTCCATTAAATTAAAATTAAAGAAGGCAACTATTTCCAAAACATTGGAATTTGAGGTAGCCCAACTAACTTGAATCCTCTTCTCCGTAGCCATCACGCTTGCTTTTATTACCCTTTTCTTTTATTAAAAAAATCATTTGATATCTGAAACTCACGAGGTTTAATCTGAATTCACACCTAATATGCCGATTAAAAAAAAAGATAAAATACTCTCTAACAGAAAAAATTATGTGATCACAAAGTTCAAATCCAAAACCTTATTATCAATTCTCCATAGAGCTCACAATTTTTTACTTTGGGTTATTGCCATCATCAAGCCTAAAAAAGTGTGCATATCATGTGAACTTATGTTATGCTTTATAAAGCTTGTAACTTTAATTTTCTCTTTCACTTTGATATGAGATTCGACTAAGGTGTGTGATATGCACCCATTTTTTAGAAGCTTGCAAGTTAATAAGTCTTTTTCTTTAATCAACTCTCGCTGGCCCACCTTCTGTCATGAGCATCACAATCATATACATTTATAATCAATCAACACTGGCCAAACTAGTCCCCCTTTACACCTTTCCTCCTCCTCCTACTACTACTCATTTTTCTTCTTTCTCCTTTTTAGCACCAAGAAATCATAGAAAACAGTCTTTATAGCACACCCTTTCTACCACCTTCTTGACAAAACCAAATATCACATACAACAATGTATTTTTCAAAAGCTTCTAGTACTACTAATTTCCTCTTCATGTTCTTATTATTGATATTTGTCCCTTTTTATTACATCCACAACACAAGCCAATAGAAAGTTAGTATTAAACTTGCATGAATTGAAGAAAAATCCCAATTTAGAGGACATGAGATTACTGTATCAAATTTCCCTTCCTAAGGGCACAATCCCAAATTCCACACCTAGCAAGAGGGGTCACTTACACACTATTAATAGAATTCTCACGTCTGTTCCTAGCCCAGGAGTAGGCCATTAATCTCTCTTCTTTAATTTGCATATCGTCGCGATTTCACCCTTTTCAGACCCCATTCGTGGGACTATATATATACTGGTATGCTTTTGTTGTTCTTTTTGGTTTCCTTTTTGCATTTTTTGTTACATTTCAATTCATTAGGAATTGTCACTAGTCCAAACCCAAAAGTCAAGGTATTATCCGCTTTGACTCGATCAACTTTGAGTCATCACAAAAATTTTGGATCTCAAGATTTTGCTCCCTTGAATTTTAACTCAAAAAAAAATGTCTTGATATTTTAATTCTGAACACTCACACTTATATACCTTCCACTACAACATTTTAGGCCTACAGCCACCCTAGAAAAGTGTGGCCTAAACTATGAAAAAGTGTGGCCTTTGATAAAAGGCCACACTTTTGGACTTTAAGCAACACTTTTCCAGGGGTGCCCAAAGGGAGCGTAACCTTAGAGTTTAGGCAACACTTTTGAAGTGTCGCCTTATCAGCTACACTTAAAAGCGTAGCCTAAAAGGCAAAAAGGCCACGCTTTCCAGTACCTCATATAGCAACATTTCTATCTCATACAACTACACTTTCAAGCGTGGCCTTTGCTTCCTTATTGCCCACAATTTTAAAGTGTTGCCTTTTCTATCTTATGTATGACAACACTTTGAAGTGTAGTCCTTGCCCGTCTGCATTCAACAATTTACAATCCTTTGGCTACACTTTTAAGTGTGGTAATATTATTTAGGCTATAAAATATTTATATGCCACAATTTCTAATTAAAAAACACCAATATTGTTTTGCAATAAATAATCTCAAGCATTAAATTAGCTAATAAGTAATTCAAATATATATATTTGCAATAAACATCAAATGATACCATGTCTTGTGTACATACACATACTTATAAAGCAATATTCTAAATATGTTTACACAATAGTTCAAAAAATACTCTTACAATGGTTCAATATATTCTAGCAATGAATATATTTCACAAAATCAAATATAATGTATTCAAACTTATACAATAGTGACAGAAAAGCTATAATCCCTAGGATGGAAAATGCATAAACCTCTATACCCATTCTGCTGGATCTCCCGAATTTCCATTCAGCAGTTTGTGATTCTCTTCTTTGGACTTGCTATCCTTAGTCACTGGTAGCTACAAGGCACTAGTGCGATCAGGCAGTTCTGCAAGAAAGAATGGGGAAAGATGAGTATGTGTGATGCCGAGAGAAGACTCCTTGCAAAGATGTTGCTCGACACATTATATTCTGTAAACTTCTTGTAAACATACAATCAATCAAAACCGAATTAAAACACCATTGTCCTCTCAGTCAACTACTATTAGTCGTTTTAAAAATTATATGATACTCGTCCAATAAGTAAACTAACCAGTTTATAGTGCCTAGGTAGAACAAATCCTAAAAACTTGTTTAAATAACCAGTCAAATTGCAGATTGCAGATTACAGTTCCAGATCTAGATTAATTCCAGATTGCAGCTTTCAGTTACACATTAAATAGTTAAAAAAAGTCGAAAAACACTCAGATGGACTGGATTGGCATCTTTCTCGTGTTTTATTAGATGTAGTTAATGAAATTTCAGTCGTGTTAAATGTTCCACTGTCCTCAGGGGTTTTAGTTGGTATAAATTGTGTATGGAACTTGAAAGTGGAGCATAGTGTTACCTGTTAAACAAAAATTTCTTAAGAAGAACAATATTTGCTTGCTTGTTGATGATTGTACTCCTTCCTGCTGATGCTAACTTTGCTATCCCTGTTATCACCTAAAACTTGTTGTGCTTTACTCATCTTGAGTAACATACACACAAAGAATTAAAGTGGCATTCAATTATCAAGAACATAAATATTCAATTAGATTGAGTGCAGACTGAGACATATATGGAGATAGGATGCATGATACTCACATGAGGTGTGACGGTAGTTGTTGTGGTTATAGTTTGTCTTGATGTTCGGGCATGGAGAAATCCTTCACCAACGTTACGAGGGACATCATTTATGTTGATGAGAGTTGTTGTCTTGTTTCCAGTTGAGTAGTTCATCATGTTATCCCAGCTTCATAGCATGTTTCACCAGATATGGTGGAGACAGTAACAGTGACTATTCGTCTTTCAGGGACAGGCTTGACAGGGAATGCTAGGTTGTTGTTATGAAAATTATTAGTGTAAGGCAGCAATGAAAGAGGAGCTATGGCAGTAGAAGAAGAGACTGAGGGTGGTGTTTGGACCAAATTTTTAATTTAATTATTGTTAGCTCCTTGCCTTGATCATTTGATCTCTCCATTGCTACATCTACTGCTTGTACTCCCTGTTTCTCACTTCCTTGTTCCATTTCCTTTCTCTTAACTTCAGCAAATTGTTTAGCCAACAACATAAATGTTGTGATCACGTTATCTTTTTCTTCCATTTTAGACACAATGTTCAGAAACTTTTTCTGTATTCATCACCCAATTAACATTTAACAGTCGACAGAAATTACTAGTACTAAAAATATCACGACTCCTACGGTAACATGCATATCTTACAGTACCATGAATCTCTCTACTTCCTCACTAATGAAACATAATTCAGCCCCACCTCTCCCTTTCCCCTTCACCCTAACTAGCTAGAAATAAAAACTCAGAGAACTATAGAGGGGAAATAGTGCATTTTTGATGGATTACATTAGAGACATCAGAAATGATTGAGTTGTGTATCTCAAATGTGAGTTACAGCATAATATGAAATTATGGAAGTGTGAGTTGCATCTAATTCCACATGCAAGGCAATAACATACATATAGGTTGATTAATTAGAATACCTCCATATTTTCCATGAAATCTGAATTGGCTATCATTAATTGTTTCTTGCACATTTCCTGCCACTTAAACATAACATGAAGTATAATTACCAAAAGGGTTAAGTATTAATTTGTAAACCACTCAAATGACAAACTTTTGGCTTTCGAAAATAAATACCATTGATGGAATAACTTTCCTTGAAGTTTCAATAGCTTTGGTTTCTTGTTGCGTCTTCTTCAATTCAAGCTCCTCAGTCTTTCTACTCAAATAAAAACACAGTCATTGATGTTTATATATCACCAATGTAAAAGCTTATAATTATAGTATGAAAATTCATTCTTGCATGAATTGGAAGAAGCAGTTGCATTTTCTTAGCAGGAAAGTGTGTCATATATACTAATGAAGAACAAAGATATGAGATCATTTTTAGCGTAATAAACACATTTTTTTACCATTACCTGCATTCGATTTACACCACCAGTTTTAACAAAGAGAGGAACAAATCGATTTGCTCACAAATACAAGCATTGATTATTTTTACTACGGTAGCAAAAGAACTAACTTGATGAATACAATGAGTTTCAAATAAGATCAAGATTACTGCACTTCTTCATAAACCAAATGAACAGACTCATTTTCTCACTAAAGGACCTGCTATCTCAAAGGTATTTAAACAATCAGAAGCTGCAACAAATTGACTCACACATGTTTCCTCAACTCATGATCAAATTGAAAGAAAAAAAATAGAAGCTAACACATATATAACACGATGCAAAGGGATTCGAAAACAGAGTTAATGAAGCAACCACAACAGGGAAAGAACTCGATACATCATTCTGCATTTATTTGAAAAAAATTTAACAAACCTATGAAAACCAACTGTTAAAGAGAACTTAAAAGACATAGTAAACATAAAAGAGAAAGCGGAACAAAAGAAAACTGGACAAAATCGATCCTCACAAGTATAAGATTTAAAATGAAAGCACTAGAGATACAAGATGAAATCTAAAACCTTGACGTCTTGATCCACTCATCCAACTTGAGGTGCACGAATGAAGAACGTGACGTCTAACATAAAACACTATCACAGAATCCCAACAAATAAGAATAAACTAAGACAAGCAGAGAAATTTGTCACTTGATTTCGGAAAATGTTTCAATACAGTTCTTTAGTACAAGCCTGTTGGCATGTGAACTCTCGGAACTGCCTGTAGTCTATAAGGAGGATCATGTGGTAGCATTAAAGCTTGAGAAGAGAAGGTAAGTGAACTCGTCTATACGTCCAATATTGTTTTCTTGAAACGTCTGAATTCTGTTTTAGTGTTGTTAAATCATCTTCATATGATCTTGGACAATCCGCACCTCAAAAGTTAGCTTTTGCATTTGAATTAGGTCCCAAGTCCATTTTCGAAGAATATGTCAAGCTTGAGCTTAGTTTAATTTGTTATGCTAAGTTCTTCATTTGTTTTCACTGATAATGTTTTCCAAACTCCCATCGGATACCCCAAAGGCTGCCTTGTTTTTGGAGAACAAGAAGAAAAATACAAAATTGCAGCAAAACACACTACACTAACAAAACAATAATAATGACTTTGCCAATAAAGTTTCATGTCCTGTTACATTGCCTAAATCATCTAAACCCACACTTAAGTCTCTATTGAAGTGATTCGACATTCATGTTCACGTTATTTTGTTTCCCTTTCATGCAGGCACAAGACTCGACAACGCTCTCAATCACAAAAGGAACGCAAAAAGAAAGTAATAGACGAAGATGATACTAAACAAGACAACGTTAGCTCTAATGAGGTACATTTCTCAGTTTTTGCTCCTATCAAACACTAAGATCATGTACTTCAAAGCCAAGAATTGTATGTTGCAGGAGCCAATAAAGAGTAGACTTTCAACAGTCTTTAAACTACTAGAGCCAGGAAGTAGCAGTACTACTATTACTACTACAACTACTACAAGCACATCTTCAAGTACTTCAAAGCCAACTGAAAAACCTCAGAGTCCTCAGAGTTCTCCGAGAATTACTGAATCTCATCATAATTCCACTACGAACATCAAAAATATACCTCCATTGCCAAATGCTAGAAGAAATCAAACTAATAAGTACAACAACAAGGACGCGATGAACAGATTGAGTCGAGTCCAAAGGTCTCAATCAAGCAAAGATTTTTTGAGATCTTGATCATCAAAAATCAACTGATGAAGCTAAAATATGAGCTATACTCCCAAAAATTGTACAAAAAACACAAGCATATCAAAACCCTAAAGCTAAAATTTAGACTTTTCAAAGATAGAATTTGTTACCTGATAAACCCTATTCCAACAAAATCCTATTTTCAGCGAGAACTATGATGTAAATCGTGTCCTTCAGCGAGAATATCTTTAGCTGTTGAGCTCTTCAGTTCGGTCTGAAATCGTGTTCCTAGCTTCAGTTCTGTCTGAAATCGTGTTCTTAGCCAACAACCCCAAAATTATCAATTCCTTCTTATTCTCCTCTTCTAAACACAAAACAAAAAATCAATCAATAACAAGAAGACTATTTAGTACTTATGGAATAGTGAATCGAACTCACGCTTGACGAAATTGTTATCGGAGAAGAGAATCGAACACACGCTTGACGAAATCAGTTCTTTGACTTCAGTTCTTCAGATCAGTTCTTCAACTCTTTAGCTCAGACGTTATTCCGAGAAAGAGAGAACTCACGCGTGTTTTTCTCACATATGTATTATGTATTTTCTTAAAATTAATGTTTTATGAATTATTTTTCTTGGCCAATAAAAATGGGAGGGAGACTTAAAATAATGTTGGAGGGAAAATTTTAGTGAAAATTTTAAGGCCACACTTTTAATGTGTTGTTTTTACAATTATTAAAATAGGACACTTTAAAAGTGTAGCCATATATGTTAATAGCTGTTGTTAATTATATCATATTGTAACAACACTTATAAAGTGTAGCTTATACCATTAAAGAGTACACTTTTTAAATGTTGCCAATATAAAGTGTAGCTAAAAGTTAAAAACTTGGGCTACGCTTTGAAAGCGTCCCCAAAAATATTTTAGGCAACACTTTACAAGCGTTGTCCAGAATTAGTGTGGCCCTAGGCCTAAAATGGTGTAGTGTTCTAACTTTATTTTTGCCCCTACTTTGACATGAGATTTGTTAATGTCAAGGTATTGTCGGCTATAGTTCGATTTCTCTAAGCAAGTTCAACTTTTGTGGACCTCACAATTTTGCTTCCTTAAGTAATTTTAACCTAAAAGACATCTCAATATATAGTTTAATCCTCAACTCGCTGTTATAGAATCCTTAACTTTTTGCTCCCATTCTGATGTGAAGTAATTTGCCATAGGCGAATTTCAAAACAAAACCTCCTTCGAGTTTAAAACTAGCACCTCGTGGGTCCGTTACAAAATATTAACTAGATTAGGTTAGAATTGCACACGAGATCAATAAAAATGTATAGTTGGAGAGTGATGGAATTGTTTTACTTCTACATATTTGAGTTTGTAATCTACAGTTTTTTTTATACTTCTATGTTGTTTAATTCATTGACAAAAGTTTTTCTATTGAACCGCCATGCTGGACTAGAGCGGCGGTCTCTAGAAGCTTCTGAAATAGATATACTAATAATCAAGTCTTCAGTTGAGTCAAAACAAAGTGATTTTACCATTATTATTAATATGAGATTTTCATAATTTATTTCTTTATTGGAAATGTATTTATCAATCAATTTGTTTTGTTGATTCAGGAAACAGATTTATATTCCTTCTTTCAATGTTTTTGATTGTCTTGTTAAATCACATTATTTCATTTTCATCAAATTGGATTTACACAACTTTTTTGACATTCTTCTTCGGGTTTCTATCTTAATAGGAGAAAGACTAGTCAGCCAACGAAATAAAAAAATTTAGCATGTTGAAACTTTTTAGGGTTAGAAGCAAAAGAAATAACCTAAACCTCCTACTATAAAAGTGATTCCCTAGGACCGGAGAAAAATTAAATCTTGAAAAATTGTATCTAGTTCAATACATTACTAGTCGATATGGTATATCAATACGATGAACATCGCTTTTTTTTTATTAGACATGTTGTACGGTTCATAAAATAAATTTCTCCTTTTTTTTAACTTCATGAAAAGAAAAAAAAAAGATTATATCTTTAGAAGATCAATCAATTCATGAAATAAAAATTCAAAAGGAAACTTGAACACAATATTACTAATCTGAAATACTGGTTTATTAATCCCAATTTTACTAATATGAAATATTGTTTTATTAATCGCAACAAATCAAAATTAAATCTTTCAATGGATATAAATATAAATTCCGCCTTTAGCTTTCAAGGAAAATTTCAATTTCAATCGATAGGTTATAACATTTGGCCTAGAGGTGGTGGAGTTGACATGTGACCCTTGTGACCCGGCCCGGATGGTGGAATGGAACTTTTCAGAACACGACGATTATTATCAATACTGCTGCTGCTAATTTTCCAATTGTTTTTTTCAATTGAAAATATTTTTGTACCATGAGTTCTTGCTGAAAAGGTTTCATTTGTAGACATTAATATGAAAAATATCATAACAATGGAGATTAAAGTTTATGAACCATATTGGCCATGAGAATTTGAATAATAATATGTTAATTAAGAAGTAGAGAAGAAGAAAGTTGATAGAAAAATGTGTATTTTGTTGTGTATGGAGGGATATGTATTTATAGGTATCATGATTTACTATTTATGGAAAATAATTTATTAAAGTCAGGATGGACCAGATTATTAGAAGTATAATGAAAAGAAGATAGTCTTACCAAAAAATGAAAAAAGATAAATATTTTACCAAAAAAGAAAATGAAAAGAATATTGTCTTACCAAAATGAAAATGAAAATGAAAAGGATTATTGTGATGACTTAAATTGGTCAATAGTTTTGTGCATGATTAAGGGTCGGAGCTGTCAACAGAGGCGTATCCAGAATTTTGAGATCATGGGTGCATTATTACGAAAAGGTGGATCTAAGATATAAATTTGATTGGTTTAACATTTATGTTATTATCACTGAAAACCTTTAAAAATTTAAAAGGGAAAAGGGTCAAAAATTAAACTATGTGAAAGGAACAAAAATGACCTCCGTTTATAGTTTGGCTCAAAAATATCCTTACCATCAATACTTTGGTTCAAAAATGCCCTTAAACTATGCGAAAGGAACAAAAATGCCCTCCATTTGTAGTTTGGTCGAAAAATGCTCTTGCCGTCAATATTTTATCCAAAAATGTCCTCATTGTTATTTAATGGGTCAAAAATGCTCTTTTTCCAAATTATCAAATGTTTATCATACTTCAATTAAAAAAAATGAAATTATTTCTTATTTTATTATCATTATTTTTTTATCATTATATAAATATAAATTAATGATGCATATACTATGATCTTATATATATATATGACATATATTATATGTCGAAAGGGTACATGAAGTTATTCTATTTGAATTGATAAAGTGAGATTAAGAAGAAAAAGAAATATTTCCAACATTTTTATTTGTTAAACTAATTTTAGAAGAAAGAAAACAAGAATAGTGTTCTTTAATAATATTTTAATTAGGAAGGAGATGTATTTAAAAAGAAAATAATAATACTATTTATTCGGAAAAGGGCATTTTTTACCCAATTTGCAACTATAGGGGCATTTCTGGACCAAAGTATTGACTGGAAGGGCATTTTTGAGCCAAGGTATTGACAATAAGGGTATTTTTGAGCCAAACTATAAACAGATGACATTTTTATTCCTTTCACATAGTTTAAGGGCATTTTTTACCCTTTTTCCCATTTTAAAATTATAGGTACACAATTATTTTTTATCAATCCAAACCAATTATATCAGAGACGTTATCCAATTTTAGAAAGAAAAACATTATATTATACTTCAAATGTGGGTTCACACATCTATATTTAAATATTTATTAAAAAAATATAACACTACTATATATAATTTCACGAGGGAAGCATGGGTTTACGTAAACCTGGTGACCCCTTCACGTAAACCCGGTGACCCCCTCCTAAATACGCCTGATTTGAATTGTACTATATATTGTGATCATTTAAAATACTAGTCAGCCAACATTAGCATGTTGAAACTTCTTAGGGTTAGAAGCAAAAGAAAGGACCCAAACCTCCTACTATAAAAGTGATTCCGTGGGATCGGAGAAAAATTAAATCTTGAAAAATTGTGTTTGGTTAGCGAGAGTAATCTGATTGGTTCTGAAAGTTTTGGCTCTGTTTACAAAGGTGTTCTCAGAAGTGGGACTTCCATTGCAGTTAAAGTGTTCAATCTGCAAGTTGAAGCGGCATTCAAGAGTTTTGATACAGAATGTGAAGTTTTGCGCAACCTTCAGCATAGGAATCTCGTGAAAGTCATCACTAGTTGCTCCAACCTTGATTTTAAGGCTTTAGTGCTCAAGTATATGCCTGATGAAAGTCTTGAGAAGTATTTGTATTCGCACAACTACTTCCTAGACATCAGGCAGACACTAAGCATTATGATAGATGTGGCATGTGCATTGGAATATCTCCATTATGGATGCTCCTTGCCCATGATTCACTGTGATCTAAAGCCTAGTAACGTTTTGCTGGATGAGGATATGGTTGCCCACCTAAGCGACTTTGGTATTTCAAAACTACTTAGTGAAGATGAGAGTGATTTATACACTAAAACCTTAGCAACATTTGGTTATATTGCACCGGGTATGTCTCTTTGTTTTTGCGAATTTGAACATTGATTTTTCATTTTTTTTTTCAATCAAGAAAGTATACTGCATCAGTAAAATGCGATGCCTATAGTTACAGGGATTATGTTGCTGGAAACATTTACTAGGAGAAAGCCTAGTGATTTTGAGGGAGATCTTAACTTGAAGCAATGGGTGATTTATTCACTCCCAGAGGCGCAGTAATGGATGTTATAGATGTCAACTTGGTAACACCATTGGATAATCGTTTACAGAAGAAGCTAGTTGTTGTTCCATCAATCATGAAAGTGGCATTAGATTGTTGTGTTGAATCTCCGGCAAGAAGGATAAACATGAAAGATGTTGTTGGGATGCTACAAAAGATCATGATTCAACTTCTTGCACGTTGAGCATGTTATTGGAATTTCGTAGTTTGCTTAGTCTGGCTTTCATCTTTTGTTCACTCCCAAGCTATAACACTTCTCCAACAAAGTTCTTGTTGAATTTTGTAATGCCTTTCAATTTATATTTTGATGCACAATTAGATATACAATATCATATCCTTTCCTTAAATTTCAAATGGTATCCTTAAAAAGAAAAAATATTGGAAAAGAATGTGAAGCTAGGAAACAAAACAATGGAAAAAATACTACGAAAATTAAAAATAAAAATTGCTAGAGCTAATAACTTTGATAGTCACTCAATTATCAATTCTTTTCACAAAAACTCACTCAACTTTCATTTTCAACTCAAAAGTCACTCAACTATGACTTCTTTGCACATAAAGTCACTCAATCTATTTATTGTTTTTTCATTAAAATTTACTGACATGGAATTTTAACTTTTAACCAAAATTTTAAAAATCAAATATGTATCCATTTTAACCATTTAATGATCCGCCCCATTTAACCCGAATCGATACAAATATAGTATTGAAGTTGCGCTAGATTGCTGTGTTGAATCTCCAACAAGGACAAACATGAAAGATGATGTAAGGATGCTACAGAAGATCAAGATTCAACTTCTTGCATGCTGAGCAACGTTCTCGGAATCACTTATTTGTTGCAAATGTTTACTAAACTGTTGGATTCATGTAAGGATTGTTTTTGTTTTGTTTTGTTTTAGCACTTGATTTGTGCATGATTATGTTTTGGAATACTGGTTGGTTTCAATAAATCTCACAATTTCCCTACTTATCTAAAATGAGTGGTTTCCACACTTGGATATCAAACTGACAACTAGCATGGAAAGGCCTCGTTTTGGTCCGGCAGAATGAATGTTAAAAGCAAATTTCTCAAAATCGTATGATTCAAATACCTGACAAAATGAATAGAGATAGAAAGATCTGGATAACTGAGATGACATATTTTAAGATCAGATGATCCACCTCTTTGTTCACTTGTGAGTGTAAACTCAGAAAGGTCAGATATGAGGGAAATATATGTATCCATATAAGGCACTATCCTTCCCGCCCACCTCATTAATATCAATAGGGAAGAATCCAAGGATAGCCTGATTATCAACAAATAAATCTAAGATGTGTATCTTCTTTTATGTTGTCTCAAAGTAGAGTAAGCACATATTTAATATAATCGAGAAAGGCAAATAACAAACTATATATGTTTTCCAAATCTCTGTTAACTTAAATCTACTGACACACGGTGTCACACTCTTATACCACAGAAACTTATAAGTAGATCAGTTGGTTGACTACTTGAACTTTCACCTTGTTGGTAAGGTATCAATTCGATTCCCCACCTTGTAATCCCCTACTCCCAATTTTATTTTATTTTATTTTAAAAACACAAACTCTTATGCCATTTGAACATCCCTCGCTGAAATTATACCGGTGTATATGTCAACTAGTTCTGGAAACGTGTGTTGCACGTTTATTTTTTACTGTCATACAAATTTGTATAGGTCTAATTTAACGTTGATAATTATCAATTACATTATTCTTTTGTATATGTTGTTATGTGCAAATATAACAATGTCAATTAATTCTCTTCATTTTGGTTATTTGTCTGCAAAATGAAAAATGTTGAAAAATATAAAACTAATTACGATAATAAAGCATATAGTATGTGATATAGTGATGAACTCTTGCTCTAAATTTAAGAAATGGACGTAAACATATATAACAAAATTAATAAAGACAAAGAATAAATATATATTTACCATGTTAATCAGAAAAAAATGACCAATAAATTGATTTTACATAAATGTATAAGAATTATAAGATGATGAAACACAAAAGTGAAGTGGACTAATATTTTCTATTCATTTTATATAAGAGATCATCACCAAAAATCTATTAAAAGACAAAAATAATTGCAACCCAAAAGACTTATCATAAAATACAAAATCAGTAAATAAAGTGCAAATATATATATCCACACAAAAAGAAGTATCTTTTAAGAAAGATAACTAAGGAACGTTAGTAAAAATAGACACAAATAATGATACAACCCACATTGAAAGAAGTTGCTTCATATAAATCAAAAAATAATTAAGAATATTTAAACAGAAATTATGTAATGTTTTCGGCCTGTTCCTCATACTCAAATAAAAGTATTTTCAAAATCGAAAGAAGGACCATAATGTGTTTTGCCTCCAACATTCTCACGATGAAGCATTATAATTTTTAAACCCAAAACTCAATATTGTTTTGTAACTGAAACCCAAAAGTAGGAAATGGGTGATGAATACATGACGATGAAAAGCTTGTAGAAGTTGTGAATATAGAACTGATAATATAATTTTTACTTTGAGTTGATAGATCATTTGACTATGTGATTGAATAGTATAAATTTTTCTGTCAAAATTTATAGAATCCTATAAAGTATATGAAAAGACATGATATTTAACTCTATGGAAGATGACAGGAATTAAACATTTTAATTGAACTAATTATATGTAATAATTAAGAATTTGAAATTTTCAATAAATTTGGGGATATGGAATAACTTTCTACAATAAGATTCAATGTATATTGTTTAGAAGTCTATTAATTTAATTTTAAAGTTAATGTAATTAAATTTTATGCTCTATCTTTTTTATATTATTTTAATAGTAATTGACCTTTCAAATTTTCATGTGACTTCATATACATATATATATATATATTAAAAAAAAATTAAATATAATTATCTTTTTAAAATTTTCAACTTTTAAATTAAGAGTAATTAAGACTATATAATAAATTAGAAATTTATTTACTAATATTTGATTAATTAGATTATGATTTAGTGTAAGGGTAAAATAGTAATCTAACTTTTTCCTAAAATTCTTCCCACTTATATATATGATATATATATATGATATTAGTATCACATAAATTAACCATTGAACTACCTCAATGAAATTTCTGACTTCTGGATCACACAATTTGAATATAGTATGAGACATGGTTGAGGCATTGGGCTCAAGTCTCGGCTAATAAATAAAAGAATTGGAACGTCCAATATGTGAATGATGGGACGTGTTGAAGAATAATTAAGTAAATAAAGTGTGTTCTCCCTAACAGTTTAACCTAGTTTTAAAATGAGGGTCATACGTACCTTAAAACTCCTCTAGCCTCAAGACGATAGTGGATGCAGAACTTAGTATTGTGAATCTAGCATCTGACCTACGGCTCTTATCTCTATTAATGGTGATTTCATTCCCAGAATTCAAACTCGTAACCACTAAATAAACATGAAGGTGCTTACCTTCTCTTTCTCTCTCACGTCTCCCACCTTTTCTCTAAGTTGTCATATAATAATTTTCAAAACACATATGAAGTAGTGAATTGATCAATGGTCCTAGTGTACAATTTCTTCATAGCAAACTTCACTTTTTCTAGGACTTTTTTTCAATTTCAATGTCATAATTCAACTCATTTAAGACACCATGACCAAAAAAAATAAGTTGAATTATTTTGTTCCGAGATTTTGAAGCATTTCGACGTAGTAAATTATAAATATAAGCTCTTATAATTATCCAAATAATGTGCTTTGTCACAACAATTCTAGACCAATTTATGATTATTAGACGTACACTATACTACACATGATGTAAAAGCTCAACATTGTGTCACTCTTCCTTAATCAGATGTCTTGGTTTTGAATCGAGAATGAGGATGGAGTTCTTATAATTGTTCAAATATTGTACTTGTCACAACAATCCTAGGCCGATTTATGATATTAAGTGTAGACTATATATACTATATATTATTTAAAAACTCGACATCACCTCACGCTTAATCGATCTTGAGTTTGAGTCCCAAAAATAAAAAAATCATAAAAGAAAGTATTGCTTTTTTTCCTCTTATTTAGGTCTTGCAGGACATGAACGCAGATTAATTAATCATAATTTCAATGCAGATGTTAGACAACAATAAAACCTAAAAAGATAAACACGATGGTACAAGTTGTTATTCTTTGTCTTCCTTGTTGCCCAAAAAGACAAAATTAGAAAACGTATAAGATAATCATCAACAGTATAATAAAATTGTTATAAATGGACTGTCAAAATGGTCTAGGGAATGTGAGAACTTAATTAAATAAAACAACACAAAATAATCATAAAGCCATATGGATTGTCACTTAATGTGCCAACAATCTTCAATTATATTTTATATATTTTCTATTTCAATATGAGTATTTAATCTTTCATGTCATTCTTGTTTTTAAAATTTGAGAAGATAATAGTTTCTTTATTTAACGTTTGTGGTTGACTTTTAATTCTATTTTTCAAAAAAATTAAAAAAAAATTGTAAGACCATAACTATGTGCAAATTATAAAAAACAGCTTGAACACTAGTGGACCACAACATCACTACAACTCTCTCCGTTCACTTTCACTTGTTATGTTTCGCTTTTCGTTGAATAGATGGTGAAAGATACCACCCTAATCGAGTAGATTGTGATAATTCAGATTGAAAAATGGAATAATTGATAGTTGATCATATTCGAGGTATGTTTTAATACTTAGATGATAATAGTTCAGATTTTAAAAAACATTTGATAATTAAGAAATAAAACTCGCTAAAAAATAATATTAATTCAGAGGGA